GAGAGAGAGAGAGAGAGAGAGAGAGAGAGAGAGAGAGAGAGAGAGAGAGAGAACCGAAAAGAAAGAAAGCAATTTGGCTTTTTTTTCCCCAAGGAAGCTGACCTCAAACTTTCAACAATCCTCCTGCCTCAGCTTCCTGATTGCTGGGATTACAGGTGTGCACCACCACACCTGGCTAATTTGGCTATAGTTCATGTCTTATGACCCAAACCTGCCTCTCTTGAAGGAGAGAAGTTAGGAGTAACAGGACAAAATACACTTCATACCCAGGTGCAGTAATGCATACCCATAATCCCAGCTCTCAGGAAAGCTTAAGAAGGAGATTGTAACTTCCAGGCCAGCCTGGGCTACATAGAGACCCAGTCTCAAAGAGAGAAAAAAAAAAAAAAAAAAAAAAATCAGAGAGAAGAAAAGGAACCCACTGTCAGGGCTGGTCCTACTACCCATAGAGGGTCTGTCAAGCTGTCAGTGATGAACAACTGCAGAATATTACTCCCAGCCAATTTGGATTCCTGGGCCAGACTGGGTGCAGGTGAATGGAGAGGATGGTCAATCAGAAATGAGTCCAAAATGAAAAGAAGCACAGTAAAGGAGTGAGAAAAAGGGTACACATGTTCAGGGTGGTACCAGTTTAGAGCAGCTTTCCACACATCACTTCCATCCATTGTCATGAGTCAATCATTTGTCGCCCTGTCACCTGGGTACCAGCTTCCTGTCTATAAATAGCACAGGAACAGTCTGACCCCAGGAGAATCAACTTCCAGGGGCCTCTGTCTTGCTGGGGGAAAGAGATAAAAATACATCCTTGGGCCGGGGAGATGACTCAGTGGAACAAGTGCTTCCCTGGCAAGTGCAAGGGGCTGAGTTCAATCCCTGGTTCGGGGGGGAGGGGGGGGACATCCTCAAGGATTAACAAGCACCTATACCTAAATTGCTCCCCCACCCCAGCAGTGAGACATGATGCTCCCCCACCCCGGCAGTGAGACAGAGATGGCTTTTCCCGAGCCATTTTCATGCCATCTCTTTCTTTTGCAGACCACAGCTCTGAAGACTGCTTTCACAATGCAGAACCAGGCACCAGTGGTGGTTGTGACTCAACCTGGAGTTGTCCGTGCGCCCCAGAACTCCAACTGGCAGACGGGCATGTGCGACTGCTTCAGCGACTGTGGAGTGTGTGAGTGTGGGAGCGGCAGGACGTGACCTGGTGGCCCTCTCCTTCCCTCCTGCAGCCAAGGTTCCTCCCTCCCTTATCCCAGCACTTGCAGGCCATGCCGAGGTGGACAGGTCTCATGGCAAAGGCATGCGCTGACTGCATGCTGGCCCTTGGCAGCCCTTATGTCTGATGTCACAGAATAGAGATAACCATCAAAGGACTCACTGATTTTTTAAGAACAAAAAGCTCTAGCCTGATAATAATACATTAATGCAAGAAATGATTCAAGTTTAACCTGATTTTTAAAAAAAGAGTTGTTGGTCACATATCCATCCACCTCTGTCATGTGGCCAGTACACAATGTTAAGTGCCCCAGTCTTTGCATGAACTCGTAGAGGAACTACTTCCCTTTACACATGCAGGGCTCCTACGTGATCAAAATGAACTTCTGAGGGCAACTGGCTGTGGTGGGGGGAAATACCTCCAATCTGCGTTTCCTTTCTCTCATTCAAGTGGACAGAGAATTCTTGGATAAGGAAAGAATATACATTTAGCCTGTAACTCACCAGTAAAATGGAACTTCGGACTGAATCCAGTTAATAATTAACTTGGTCAAGATGAATGAGATGAAAAAGTAACCTAAGGAAGGGTCCTGGGGTTTGTCCATCTTCTTGCCATGTCTTAGTAGAAAACAGCTTCTAACTTTCCAGTCTTGGGACTTCTGTTCAGCATCTGCAGAGGAAGTGGTAATGAAGGCTATTGTAGTTTTATTGAAGCACAAATAAACATGTACACAGGCTGTCTACAAAAACTAAAAACTAAAAAGAAAAAAAAAAAAAAGACTATTGCACCAAAATTCTCTAAGGATAAACATTTACTCTTCATCCCTAGTCTTAAATTAAATGAATATAAATTCTCTCTTTTGGATACCAGGGATCAAACTCGGGACCTTGTGCTTGCCAGGCAAATGCTTATGCTGCTGAGCTATCTCCCCAGCCCCTAAATTAAATGAATATGTAAGTTCCAACCTGAGTTTGTTTCCCTGGGGTATAAGTAAGTAAAGCTGAGCAGGTCATCCTCTCTTAAAGCACCTCAAAACACGTTGGGGGTTCCTCATGACGTCCCAGTCCCACCCCCAAGACGCACCTTCCAGATCCTCATGTCCTCCTCACGGACAGCAGCCTGTCCTCCCGCGGCCTCAAGGGCACCGTTCTGTGGGTGCTCCTGATCATCGAAGTAGCCTGCCCTGGAGTGCTGTCCTGTTGGGTCCCCTGGAGGCCCGGCCAGGGGTAATGTCTGGGTCACTGCCAGGCTCCCGAGCAAGGCACACATGAATGAATGGTGGTGCCCCGATATGACGCACCTTCGCTTCCTAAGGCGAAGTTATTCCCGATGTGACTCCGGAGGTAGCAGAGGCTGCTTGGGGCCTGCGTGGGTGACAAGGACCCCTGGTGTGGGCGGCCCGCCCTGGGAAGGGCTGACTTCGAGCCTTGCCAGCAAGGCTGTGACTGTGTCCCTCCTGTGTGTGTCCAGGTCTCTGCGGCACGTTCTGCTTCGTTTGCCTCGGGTGCCAGGTTGCGGCCGACATGAACGAATGTTGCCTGTGCGGGACAAGCGTGGCGATGAGGACGCTCTACCGGACCCGATACGGCATCCCGGTGAGGCCCGCACAGACGGACGGCGGCTGCCGCACGGGGGAGGCGGTGCTCGGCTCCCCACGACAGCTGCCGGAGGGAGCTGTGCCCCACCAAGTGCCCGCCAGGCTCCTCTGCGCAATGGCAGCAAAGCCACTGTCCTGCTTGCCCTGCACGGCAGCCTGTGTCTAGCTTCTGTCGCCTCGGGAAGCCGGGGACCACAGAGAGACCCAGGGTGCGGAGGTGGCTACGCTGCCCAGCGATGCGCCCTCGAGGTGCCAGGCAGCGCTCAAGGGCCTGCACGCGACTCTTGGCCGGGCGACAGGCACGGCTGAGGAAAGCGGCTCGTGCAGCTCTGGGCGCGCCTGCGTGTATGTGTGCACACGTGGCTCCGTGCGCGCCTGCGTGTACGCTGCACGCGCAGACGAGGGAAGCACAAAGGGCTAGGGAAGTCTCGGAGAGAAGCAGGTTGCAGTCAAGCTTTCAGGTGGAATCCTGCAGAGTAGCCAGGAGACCAGAGCCCATGCGACAAGTGCTGCTCAGGCACAGGTGGTGGCTGGAAGGACGTCTTGCTCAGGAACGATCTTTTTTTAAAAATAACTCTGTTAAGGTCTTCATCTGCCACCCTCGTTACGGAGGACTACCACAGGAAATGAGGGAATCTGCAAAATTTTATATATA